GTGTATCGTGGGACAACCGTATAAGCAATGCTGTCGTTAGGGAACGAGTTCTAGGTAGGGATGGCAAATCAATAGATGAAGGTTCACCAGTTGAGGTGGTTGGGACATGTGTTACGTATGCCTAATCACCAACTGCCTCGACGAGCAATGTTTTGTGGTGTAGGTTGGAAGAAACCTAGGGGCGGCCAAACCAAAACATGGCACAAATCCATGAAGTCACTGACAAGTGGACTAAATCATGTTGGTACATGTAGGCTACCTGGTTGGGGTCCACGAGATGATAGTCACCGATGGTTAGAGACCTTGAACGACATGGCTCAGAATCGTTTGCAATGGCGCAGGTGCATCCATTCTTTGTGTTCTCTCTAATTATAACCTTCGGAATCCCTCTTAATCTCTATCTTTCTCCTTCTAAGTTTATCTTACTGAATTATACTTCTCGAATCACATTTTCGCTCCATAATCTTCTCCATTACTCCTAATAATTCTATTATCACTATTTGAATTGACAACTGCGTCTCTGTGCTGATGTGGTATGGCAACCTGAAATGATATACTTACGTACGAAGTTCTGCGTTGTATCTGTCTTTAGATTTTCAAAAAGAGAGGAACGGCTTAGACTCTTCAGCCCAGCTAATTATGGAGACAGTGAATAATCTGTTATTTAGAGTAGGATAATATTCGGACAAAATGATCTGTCGATTATCAATGAATCTAACATCAAATTGTTAAGCTGCATGTATAGGTTAGATCAAAAGTGAGGTCCTGGAATATGGGCCATTATGAATTCTGGAGGTAGGAAAAGAACACTTATGCCACACTAATTAGTTTCCAACGATTTTCCAACTGTTTTCTATATATATGATGGCAATTGCTTTCAGATTGAATTACTTTTCAGAAACCTCTTAGCTTTATATTAAAAATAATTTATATAACATAGATAGATAGATAGGTAGATAGATAAAGCACAAAATTCTAATCATTTGCCCCAGGTCATTGAAGCTATGAACTCTGATGCTCAATTAAGTTGTTGTCTTAGGCAAGTTAGCTTTCATATCAAACATTGAAAATCGTTTTGATTATTTTGAGTGAAAGAATACTTCAGCCAACCATACAAATGACAACCGTTTTACTTTGTATAACAATTGTAAGCTGCATGCAGTGATTACTTAACAAAATACTTTTTGAGGAAAATGCGTCACAATGAAAATTGTCAATTAGAATTATTGTTGTTAAAGAAGTGAGATTTTCAACTCACTCATAAAATTCTTGAGTAAGTGTTTACACTTTGCCAGATCATTTAGAAACTGGTTGCTAATCCTATAAATTCAATCGCTTGTGTTAATGTTACGTTCAATAAGCTAAATGATTTGACTATCAAGCAAGCTTTTATTGTCATTCTAGAAAACATAACTGTTTTTTTCACTTACTTTTTAAATACTACTCATTTCATTAACCAGTTCTAAAACTAATGTGAAAAATAACAGAACAAAATCGTTTGTAAAATACAATTAATTCAATGTCCTTCATTACGTCTATACTCAAGTATCAGTCAATCTAGTGAGTTTGATTAATTAAAGATAATCCTCAAGCTAGAAAGTTATAAAGAAAAGCAAATTTTACACTAACGAACGGTACATTTTGTGAAAAATTTGAAATGAATATTTTAATGCTTAGTTATTATGAATAACTAGATGAATAATCCCTCTAAACTATTGGCGGGTATATAATCTTATTTACTGAATATCATTAGAATTTTTCAAAAATGTAAGAACACGAAAGGTAAGAAAAAGTATTTTTAAGATTAAGGCAGTCGACAATGAACCTCTGACTTTTTCTGAATACAAAATTAGATTCAAGATTCTTCATTAATATTATCTGTAAGAATTACAATAAGGCAGAATTAAACTGCTTATTGAAAATTCTGCGCGTATATATTAAATCTATTGTGTCCTATGGGCTATACACTGCCTAAATGCGACTTATCCTATTGGAAATATGCTTGATGAAATAAACGGATGCCTAACTTTATATCCTTCCAATGAACCAGTAAATCTACATCAGGCAGTTGGACGTTATATTTAGAAAAGATTTTCGTATTTTTGGTTCGCTTTTTTAGCATGGTATTATCCTGTCTGCAAACAGTTTTTACTTCAGGACATATCTTTCTGAAAATTTTCTTCATTTGTGACTAATTTCATTTGATAATTTATAACCACTAATGAGGGTATTGTTAAACAGAATGAAGGACTTCGTAGACGTCCAACTTCGAGATCAACAGGCCGGATTTCGTAAGGATCAATCGTGTACTGACCAAATTGCTACATTACGGATCATTGTGGAACAATCAATTGAATGGAACTCATCACTCTACATCAACTTCATCGACTACGAGAAAGCATTTGATAGCGTGGATAGGAAAACACTGTGGAGGCTTCTTCGACACTACCGTGTGCCTGAGAAACTAGTTAACATCATACGGAACTCTTATGATGGATTCAACTGCCAAATCGTACACGGAGGACAGCTAACAGACTCTTTCAAGGTGAAGACCGGTGTCAGGCAAGGTTGCTTATTCTCACCCTTTCTCTTTCTCCTGGTCATCGATTGGATTATGAAGACGTCGACATCTGGAGGGAAGCCCGGTATCAACTGGACAGTTAGGACGCAGCTGGACGATCTGGAATTCGCAGGTGACCTGGCTCTTCTATCTCACACGCAACAACAAATGCAAGAGAAGACGACCAGTTCTTGTGTTATATTTATTATGATGAAAGTTTAAAGGTAACTGTATTTTAAAATATATATATATATATATATATATATATATATATATATATATATATGTATATGTATTTCACTGAGGAGAAAACAATGAACCACAATAAATTCATCGTATTTTACAATCATTATCGTTCTTGTTATATTTAAATTTGTAGAGAGAATAATGGTATTTTGTTATTGTTGACTTGATTCCAACCACGACTGGAAGAAAGATAACTAGCCAATCACTATATTTTAGAGTAGTAATTTATACTCTAGCTGTAATTCCACTTAGACTACACCGAACCGGTATGTATCCTAATACACTGAAGAGAACGATGTAGTGTATTACTGTGAAAGCAAAACATACTACTGACTTCGTTATTAATCATCGATAGTTAAAGTGAATGGTATGCACACTTTAGATTCGTTATATTATTCGTACGCATATACTCAATTATCCCAATACAAACATTTTGTAGTAAATTGGTTGAGATTACTTAAATATTCATCTGTAGATGATTTAAATCGAACATTGTCCCTAGGATTCTATACTGATTTGAGTTCATAGTTGTTTTTAGTGTCACCATATTCTTTCTCCCAGATTAAAATGTTTAAATTCGTGTTAAGTAATGAAATATGTGTCTTTATATCTTCTTTATACGTTAAAGCCTTAATGATTTCATAGTACTGAACAGTTTATTTCAGATGGATATTTGGTTATTTTGAGTGAAAATCTAGTAATCTCAACAATGCACTTTTAAGGAAACGATCATCAAATTACTAAGGCCAAGATTCTAACATAACAAAAATATAACTACACTGAGTTATAGTCTGTTTTCACAATGCCAAGAACAAAAATGAATATTAACATAATACTAATTATGTTAACATAAATAAATATGTTTACTAACTAATACAGTTAGTTTAGACAACAAAGGTCGATTATTTTTAACATATTCAGTGTTTTTCTTTTTAAACGGGTGAAATATATAGGTCACACATTTTTGTCTGATAGCCTCGCATAGATGAGAGATCAATCCTATCAGATCAATACACATACGCATATGCCAACACCGGTCTGATAAAAATAATCCATAATTGGATTTGTAGTTTTTAATAGTTGGAATGGACTTAAAAGTAGTAATGGTTTTGAGAAATGACTCATTCCCAAATGTGATTGACACTATCGTTTAATTGTGCATATATTTAGGTTGAATAGATCGAAAACACGTTAGTTTGAGTGCTAAATATAATCGTTTATAGCTTCGTTACGAACCAGTAGCAAGTGAAGATTCATGTGATTTAAAAGAATGGTACTTGTCAGCTTCTTTTAAGTACACTATAGCCGAATAAACGTCTACTCATTCACCGTAATTCAATAAATGAAAATAATTACTCATGCGACCTTCCAGAGAAACGTTCGGAACCATTTAGATTTTAATCACTGAGAAAACTGATTTACAGTTCTTCTATTTACATGAAGACCTAATGGGATGTTTTTATGTAGGGAGGTCAATAAATTTGTCAAACGAAAAGCACACTAAATTGGAATTCCTCATTACTCGAATCGAACATGGTATCAACGGACCTCATTCCTAGAACACTGTCAAGTTTTTCTGTAAAATAAATCGTATGTATTTTCACTGGAATACAGTCATTAAGTACAACTGAGGTTGTTTTGATCAGTGGAACAGAATAAATCTGGTTTAAATTGAATAACAGTAATCATGAAGCAACTTTATGGTTACTTCTCCAAAAAATTCTCTTAAAATAGTTTTTGTAAGTCAAAGACATTAATTCAGCTTTTTTAGAGAGTTCTGATAGTTTTTGTTGTGAAATAATAGCTGTGAAATTAATGAAAACAACGTCTAGAGAAACATCTCGAACTATTTGGAGATTAGTTGAGCATATCTATTACCAATGTACTAATATAAGACGAGCACGATACACCTAAATCACACCTAGGTCAGCTTATTTTTTGAGCGAGCGTCAACGTCGTCTGGTGCCAACGGATAAGTAGGACACGAAGAGGACCCGGAAAGCTTGGAAGACGAAGATTGAATCAAAAAAGAAATTCTGATGACTCCGTTAATTAACTGAATGACATGATCGATAGCCTAGTCCTTGAACGATAATACAAATATGAACGCAAATGTTTGCGGAGTATCAATAGCACACAACAACATTCACTATAGGTCACGATCTTAGGCGTAAAAATAAAAAGTCCTCAAATTACAGGGATGTAAAATTTTTTTTATTTTTAAATTATATTACATTAAAATCCGCCATCATCAGAGTTTGCATCTACAGTATCTGAAGCAACTTCCTCATAATCTCTTTCAAGGGCTGCCAAGTCTTCGCGAGCTTCCGAAAACTCACCTTCTTCCATACCTTCACCGACGTACCAATGAACGAATGCACGCTTTGCATACATAAGATCAAACTTCCGGTTCAAACGAGCCCAGGCCTCCGAAATCGCTGTGGTATTACTGAGCATACAAACTGCACGCTGTACCTTTGCTAAATCTCCACCAGGAACAACAGTGGGAGGTTGATAGTTAATTCCAACTTTAAAACCAGTAGGACACCAGTCAACAAACTGAATAGATCTTCTCGTTTTGATATTAGCAATTGCAGCATTCACATCTTTAGGAACAACGTCACCTCGGTACAACAAACAACATGCCATGTATTTTCCATTCCTTGGATCACACTTCACCATTTGATTCGCGGGTTCGAAACATGAATTAGTAATTTCTGAAACGCTCAGTTGTTCATGGAATGCTTTTTCTGCTGATATAATAGGTGCATACGTTGTTAAAGGGAAGTGGATACGTGGATAAGGAACCAAATTAGTTTGAAACTCGTTCAAATCTACGTTCAAAGCACCACTAAATCGAAGAGAAGCTGTAATGGAGCTAACGATTTGTCCAATCAACCGATTAAGATTGCTGTACGATGGTCGATCAATAGTAAGGTTTCGACGACAGATCTCATAAATAGCTTCATTATCAACCATAAATGCACAATCTGAATGTTCTAGCGTTGTATGTGTAGTTAGAATGGAGTTGTAAGGTTCAACAACAGCTGTTGAGATATGAGGGGCAGGATATACAGCAAACTCCAACTTTGCTTTTTTACCGAAATCCACTGAAAGACGCTCCATTAATAAGGATGTGAAACCAGATCCAGTTCCTCCACCAAACGAATGGAACACCAAGAAACCTTGCAGTCCTGTGCACCTTTCAGATAGCTTCCGTATACGGTCTAGCACCTCATCGACCAACTCTTTACCAACTGTGTAGTGACCACGAGCATAATTATTAGCAGCATCTTCTTTCCCACTTATCATTTGTTCTGGGTGAAACAATTGCTTATAAGCGCCTGTTCGCAGTCTGTCAATAACTGATGGTTCCAAGTCCACAAAGACAGCACGTGGGACGTAACGACCATAGCTTGTCTCACTGAAAAACGTACTGAAAGAATCGTTATCGTTCTTTATGTTTGAGTCGCTAGGAACTTTTCCATCAGGTTGTATGCCATGTTCGAGGCAATAGAGCTCCCAACAGGAATCGCCCATTTGGGTTCCGGCTTGACCAACATGTAAACTGATGCATTCGCGCTTAGAAAATTCAAAGTATAAATATAATGAAATACATTTCCAAATAAAAAATTATGATGTTACTACGCACAGATTTATTAGGAATACTTCTATTGACTAACCTCTAATAGAAAACCGCTTACATTATAAGTTCTTAGAGCTAGTTAGTAATGAAGGCTAATACAACAATATGAACAATATCATTCGAGGTTATAAGCACCAATCGAGAAGACTATTCGGCCACGAGAACTTACGTCAGTAAAAACAGACTTATCATCTATGTATATTTGGGGGATTTAAACTGTCTTAGCATACAACGTAAGTACGTAGTTATTTAGACTACTAGCAGAAAATCAACAGAGACCATGAAACTGGGTGTTGATGTGAAATATAATTATTTGCTTGAAGTTACCTAATCAAGCTACTATCCTTTTGATTATCAGAAAATTTCATAAATACAGGACATGCAATAAACTTAAATCCAACGAAATGCTTCAAATCGTTGAATATAACTCACCATGATTGAAGGTAACTGGTTCCAAAAAATCCCACTGTTCAACTGTACAGTCGGCCTTTGTTCATGTATTTAGCGGAATCAAATAAATAAATCAAGCTTACCGATTGGTTATTATTGACAGCCCCTCAATTTTACAGGGCAGATGGTTTAAGTTAGTTGACACGTTGATTTCAACCCCCCTACCTAGTCTTAATTTGGATTGGTGAACATCACAAAGAAAACAAGATCATGGTCTGATCTACAACTTGACCTTTTAATGATGTTTACGAAATGATCAGACTTCAGTGGTCAGCACACAAAAAATTTATAATCCTGACCTTCTTGCAATGAGACTAAATTTTTTTTAATATGAAGTCACATCATAAATACGTCTTAACAATAAAAATTTAATTATTGTTTCTATAAATTGGTTAATTTCTCATCATATAGTATGTTAGTCTAATAATTTGTTGAAACGATAATTTTCATGGAATTTCTGTAGTTAAACAAATATTTGGTCTAAAATTCAATAATTTGAAACTATTTAACCTGGCCTTTTTGGATCATTGATTTGGATCTACAGTTGTGTAACCTGAAGTGAATTTTCGAAAAACAATATTCGTTCATGTACTAGTGTTTTAACGTACTGGGTATTTTTAGACAAATAATCCAATGAAAAGTTGAACAACACGTTAATCTTACATGTCTACTATTTTTGTCAATTTCTTATTCACGAAACTCGCCTGAACCTGACAGTTTAAAATTTCGTGTGCGTGACAAACAGAAGCTAGTGTTGAACTTTCGTGACCAGACATGTTAGTGTTAGCAATTCGATTACTGTAATGAGATATCAGACAGACTTTTACCGAAATGATACTGAAATAAGTAAAAAACTTTTTTTCGTACGACCTTATTTTGCTTAATCAGATTAGTAAGTCATTGCTTCAACGTCTTCTATTTAACATCTAAGTAACAGTTTCCTCGCCTAAGAAGTTCCTAGTGTCAAACACAGGTCTAGTTGGACTTATTTAGATACTGTACTGATCGTGAATAGGGTTCTAGTTTGTCCATGCCCTGACTTTGGCATTCCAGCCAATATACTAAACGTAAAGTTAATCAAATGATAACCTCATCAAAATCATACTGTCAGTCAGTTAATCTATTAGACGTATTTAAAGTTCTTTATATACGAATATCTGTCACTCATTATGCTACTGAATTACTCGGTAAAATGACACTGCAGAGTATCAAGAGAAGTGACTAGAATTATTTTTAAAAATTTATTCTGTCTTCCACAAAAATTTGTACAATATTTGAGCTCATTTTAACTAACGCCTTTTCTTAATTATCTTTGACATGTTACAATATCAATCAAGTTACTCATTGAATGATTGAGAACAGATTGCTTTTGTTAGTGGTCACTGACGAAAATAACGTGTCACATAAAATTTATAAATGTTATACAGGATCTCAGAAGACTATGTTAAGCAAACGTTCCTCATAAAATATCTGAAAAAATCCTGGAATTTCATTAACAACCTATCCAACGTGCATTTGGAGCAGAGGGAAGCTGAAACTCTATCCTTAGAATTTAAATTTCACATCTTTAGAATTCAAAGCACTTATTTATCCATTTGAAGGATTTGCATTCAGTGAGTGAAAAAATGAAGGAACCGTTTAAATCCAGATTAGTTGATAACCTTGATACACTATCTTCCTCATATTAAAGTTGAAATTTTGTCCCAAAAATTCTCGATGTCATTGCAGAAATTCTAGCTGATTTGCAGTTAAACGAAATTGATTGATAACAGTACTGACAGTAAAGATTCATTACAATGTGTTGACAATCAGAATCACATAAACATTTCTGATAAGTTGATAGTTTCTGTTGGGGTGGAATCATTGTTTAGCAAAATTCCACTTTACTGATAATAGTCAGACGATGGAGAGATTCTAATAAACACATGAAATAGAGTTTATCCGAATTTTAATGGTTTTATTTTTCAATTCATTTACGAAATCTTGTTGGTCAAAACATATTGGATACGTACTACCGATACACTGAAAGCGGGACTAATGAATGCTAAAAAATTTATAAGGGGCAACGCGTCTCCGTTGAGATTCCTAGAGAAACACAGGAAAAGTGAAGTCAAAACGCTTAAGGAAACCGTAGTAGACAGAAAATCTATTTTTAATTCACTTGAATTCCAAGGAGATGGGGTTACAGGGATAATTATTACAAGACTAAGAACCAAATGTGTGAATCAGCGAGAATTAAGATAACACTCGATATAGTTTGTGCTAGGTTCAAAGTCCGGCGATAGATAACTTGTATGTTATTATTATTACTAACAAAGTGAAAATTAGCAATATATGATCTTTAAAATACTTGAAATCAGGAAACGTTCCTGTTATGGCACCTAAAAGTTACAAAACATAACTTCTCTCAAAGCAAACTGTGTGTTAAAGTACCTGTCGTGATACAGTGAGCTACCAAGAGTGTTCAGTTAAGTTAAGTAATATCCTCTCTTTCTAAACCGTATTCTAAATTTCAACTAAAAGTCTCTTAAGTTTATAAACAATAGGATGACATAGCATTCATTGCATTGTGGCATTTCAGGATGAAAATACTAACTGTAATTTGAAAAACCAAACTCAAAGCTTAACTTTTAGTAACTAACCCTAAAGTTTTTGCATTATAGCTAATCCCAGCTGGTGACAAAAAATCTCTAGGGTGATAGCCCTAACTCATAAAACTAGCCCGAATTTTAATGTGTAAACTTTAACCTTTTCCTCTTTCCACTAGAAAGAATAATTCGAGATGCTAGGGTTGATTATTCAAATCAAAGCAATTATTCCAATGATATTTTATGGCTTATAGCTGTGAACTGTTTTACTACTAAGTTGCATTTCCTGACTGGCTGATAAGGCCGCTTAAGGTTGTCAGTATAGTATACTCTTTCCAACTGAGTTAACTAGAACATATCCTAATCTGCCAAAGCAGTTTCACTGATAGGACAGGAAGAAGGACCTATGTTCTATTCCAAAAACGAATTCTGGTAAACTCATGATTAACAACCGAGTGATCTCGAGATCACAACCCATTGCAACCGGTTAGGAGATGGTTAAAATTGCTGAACGACTTCTTATGTGTGATGGGAATCAGGATTATGATAAGGATTCTAAAATCTTAACATTATAGATGAAGCTATTTGTTGATGCAAACAGAAAACATAACTGCGAATAAAATTTTTGTTCATTTGCACCAAAAACTTGGAGAAACTCTTTCTTTCCTCATTGGTCTGACAGTATACTTTATATCAACCCCATATTCCAGTTAGTTTTAGGTGCAATAGATTAAATAATTTCAGTAGTGCTATTTCAAAATATCTCTTTGACGTAGGATATCAGGTTGATTGATACACTGAAAGGTTTCAAATTGATTAATAGACTCTATCTTCTAGTCTTCGTAAATTTTCTGAATTCGTAAAACTCGTATGCCTCAAACTGGATATGCAATGATAAATCTTTCCTTACTATCATTTACCACATCTCTTTTTTTTGCTAATTCTTTCTCGTATTTTGATTGCATCATTTTTGATTCTTTGAAATTTACTTTTTAATCGTTTGATTTCAACTCATGTTTCTCTGAATTATTTTTAAGTTATGTCCAGTTGTTTGATGACACCATTAAATAATAATTCTTTAGCTTTATGACCTTTAGTGTCGTTTTGGTGCTCTGTAATCATTTTCTAAACGTAGTGTGTAACTACAACGATTTACACAATCTAACTGACTTGAAATGTTTTTCTCAACTATTTTTATTAGTATTTATTTCTAATCAACTTCTATGATAGTTTTGGTTTTAATATATTACAGGATGTAAGCATCTGACGTTAAACTTGTAGTGGAACGCTTCTATGAAAAAAAAAAACGATTTATAGAGAATAAACATTATTGTACTAGTTTTGTTTAACTTTACCAAAAACACTTCTTGCGCGCAACGTTCTCTTCGCGTTGCTGCCATTTATTCTAAATGCGCTGCTCTCCATGTAATGCCTACATTCTCCTTCAATAAAACATTGGAACCTGGATTTATTTTGGTATATATGACGGGATAGTATGGAACATTTAGTGGTGATCATAGTCAATCTGGTATCCCTCATCACTAAAACATAATGAAATTAAATGAGTTTAGGCTATTCTGCTTCAATCTTTGTTCTTGCATGCTTGAAGATAATAAATGGGAACTTCATATGTATTCATACATAAGAATCTAGATCACTTTGTTCCGCATGCACGTAAACGTGTCAAATTGATATGCTTGAATCATTACGGGTTTACCTTAGTCGGGAAACGAGATCGAGGGTCGGGGATCCGGCGACACCACGTGCTACTCTAATCCGAGTGTCCCAACCGCAATGAGTAAAAGAAGAAGACTTGGTATGAAGTAGAACATGTATTCTACAAGCATCCAGAAAGTACGAGGTCCGAGTCCAGAACAGAATCAGGACCCCGGGGTAGCGACCCGGCACCCGGTCATAAAACACTTGAATAAGGTTGAGTAGTATTGAAAAATATCTGATCAATTCTCATTGAATAATTTATGTTTTTAGACCACTGAGTTAATATTGATTGAAGGTGATTGCTTGACAAACCGTTGGGGACGTTAGATCCCCAGAACTCACTTAGAAAGGTCCTAATTTTTGATTTCCATGTTTTCGTGCCAGTTGAACTTCTGCTCACATTTCACCCTCGGGAACTATTTGACTTTCATTCGTTGATGGACTATTTTAGTACGCTACTCTTGTGGCTAGCCCAAGGGTGTTTCTATCATGTATAAATAAGTTCGATTTGTGCGCTTGTTGACCTCGTATTTTCTGAGTGCTTGTAGAATAAATACAGTTCTTACACCTCATCAAGATTTCTTGCTTTAGTTAGCCGGGTCAGGGACAAACGGATTAGAGTAGCCAGTCGTGTCACAGAATAAGGTATATTCGTAATAACATTCAAGCATATCAATTGGCCAGCACAACACAACCCCATAGACAATGCCCTTAACGTTAACCAAACCTCTATTCCATTCT